TAATTGCAAACTAATTTTTTTATTGTTATTTACAAAATGTGGATAATTAAATAAGATTGTATTATTAAATAATAAAGTTAATTAAATAATAAAGCCAAATTTTACTTATGTTACAAGAAATATTAATAATATATTTTAACAAAATTGTACCTGTGAATAATTCTCTTTTTTTGTTACAATTACCATAACAGTTATTATTAATTTTTCTTCAATATGTTTATAAATATGAAGATAAAAAACATTAAAAATTTGAAAGTTGAAGTAATCTCTACTCTCTTTGATATTTTCACTTAAAATAAATTTTAAACAAAACATTTATAAGAATTTTATATACATCATTCTTACCTATAAGAGGTGCATTAAATCTATACGCTAAGGCATATAGGCCGGGTGATTTTATGGTTTCTACAATTACTACATCGAATTTTGTATCACTATCCAGTTCATACATCTTACGTACTTTCGGATGCTTATAAATGTTTTCTGTTATTTCATTACATAGAGGCCATAATTGTTTGTTTAGTATATTTATCCACGTATATGTCCCTATATTTTTGATGAAATTTAGTTTTGTAATCAGATTGTAATGGGATTTGAAGTTGATTTCTGTCAAATTGGTCAAATTGGGATCATTTATCGGATCAGTTGTTAGAACGACGATTTCATGCCCTCTCTGGCTCAAAGTGGTCCATAATAGTCGAAAAGGAATTTGGTGACTGTAAGATGGTATTGAAATAATTGCCAAGATCCTTGCAGTTTCTATTGGTGTAGCAATGTATACAAAACACCCTATCCAAAATGTCATTTCAGCAATCGGCTTCATTTTAGCTGTCGATAATAAGTAAAACTTACAATTAGTACAAATTAATTTTCATTACTGATAATAATTTAACAAAATATTTTCTTTTATTTATATGATCATCCTATTTTTTATCTATTTATTCTTAAAGTTTAAGGCCAGTATTTAGAATGCGCTTTTATTGATAAATGCATGCATTTAGTACATAATTTACGTTAAAAATATTATAGAATCAATGCGCGCATTTATATTGATAACAATTAAATGTATAAGTCTAGGGATAAATAGGGATTTATACATTTATTTATATGCATAATTATATGCATAATAAATAATAATCTGTACAATATGAAATAGTTCGTTATGTTCAGGTGCTGAGTAATGTTACGTCTTCAAAAATGCTTCTTGAATCTATAACAAATACATAAATTAATTTTTCCACCAAATTAGGAAAATAATTAATAATACAACTTTGTTTCTCAAAATGCGTCGCAATTAACACATGCAAATACATTTACACAACTGCGCATAAAAACTGCAAATAAATCTGAACTGTACAAGAATATTTATAATATCGGATGATCAAAATAAAGTTTCGAGTTTGATATGTGCTACTTAAAACACATAATGATATAGATTTCTTAAGAAATGTGCATTTGTATTTAGTATGCATATTCAAAGTCCAAATATAATAGCAATGCTGATATACGTTATCTATATAGCTTGTATTTGAGACTCATTACTTCTGTGAAGCTAGCACCTCATTTTTTTTTTAAATTAACTTTTTGTGACAGGACAGAATATACATATATTGCATTCTTTATAGTTTAGAATTATGTGTATACGATCGATCATTTGCGGGGTAGGGTGAGGGGGGGGGTGCGCTATTGTTCTACATTGGTAATATCAACTTAATAAAAATCTTTTAATAATAAGAAAAACTAATGATTTATTAAAATTAAAAGATTACATTGATTGTTAATTTTTAACCTCGGTAGTCTAAAGGCTTAGGACGATCGCACGGAATGCAAGAGATCCGAGTTCGACTCCCGATCGAGGTAATATTTTTTTATATTAAAATAAAAATTAATTATTTATAGATTTTAGTATGTCATTCAACATTATTAAGATTGTTTCGATGATGCGAATAAGTATAAAAAATTTGTTAGATTGTTAGTCAATTTAACTTGTGATATTACTGTGCTCGTAGTTTAGTAGAATTAGCGTTTCAAGACCAAAAATCATTTCGGCGCGCGTTTCTAGTCTGCATACATAGTATATAAATTCACACAAGAATCATACAAGCATTTAAGATCCAGTTAGATCGTTTAAAGTTCTAATTTTTATAGTTTGTGTTATCACACACACACACACACATACACACACACACACACACACACACACATACACACACACGCACATACGGTCCTATAATATATTATATTGTTAATTTTTAATTATAATCATAATATTAATGTTATATTATTAGAAAATACAAGTAATATTAATGTTTTATATTTGATGATTGTCAATGATTATCGATAATTTGGCAACGTTGCATTCTGAAAATGAAGTTGGCATTCTTACTTGAATTGCCCACTAGTAATTGACAGTTAATTGAAATTAAAATATTATTTTCATATACGTACTTTACAGTTAATAATATAACAATAGGTTATAAGCAAGCACGTATATATTCAATCATCACACATGTGTCACAGGATGAAATAAGCCGCAATCTAACCTAATGTTGGAAGTCAACAGCATTGCCAAGTTTTCTATATTTCTTTAGTTACTCAAATAGACATGCTTTCATCAACTTTTTGCTTATATACAAATAAATTACACGGTGAATAGAGTTAAAATTCTTGCAAAGATGCAAAATAAGGTTTGTTCTAACTATCCTACTATGTATATGTTTTTTATGTAGATCGATTTATTTTAAAAATAAATAATTATGTATTTTAACATATCAATCATTGAATGCATTTATCATAAGACATCATGCATAAAACTCTAATTTTAGAGCTCTTTTTTTCAGTCAATCGATTTGAAATTTTAATATAGTTTCGTTTCAAATAATATTCTGTGTAATTTTTGGATAAATCGAAGTGATTTTTCATTTCGTACCTTCTTAATAAAATTAAAAAATGAAAAAAGTTATTGATAAATTTACGAGATGTTAACTTTATAATATTTATTTATTAATATTTTAAAAATTGCCATTTTTATTACTTTATTTTGTAAAGTTAATACTCCGAAAATTTAACAATTTCTTTTTTTTATTTAGAGTTTAGACTATGTTCTAGAAACATACTTTTAACGCTAATAATCATTCTAGCTCGTATTTAAAATGCACTTTAAGGATGTAAACGTGCATTTATTTACACATGTATTCGTTAAGAAATTATCTATTCTGTCTTCCAAAATAGATAATTTTTAAGAGAATGTAATTTTGTGAAAAATTACAATATTATAATGAAATATTCCAGAATACATTTTGATATGACTTATTTTTTATGAAGTTACACAGATAAAAATGCTGTTCAAATTTAAAAACTTTTACAAAGTTCTTTAGCATGAATTAAAAATCGCATACAAAAGTTTTCACAGCTTTTAAAAGAGTGTATGTTTATTTTTTATTTATGTATTTATTGAGCGTTATACAATTCTTTTTTCACCACGTTGTTCAACATCTTATATATAAATATATAGGAATATATGTATAAGAAAAGCATGTACAGGATTTAATTGTTGCTTCTTTTTCAGGCCGTGCTTTTGCATTCATTAGATGCAAAACAAGAACAGAATTCTCTGATAGCATTGAAAGTGCGCTCCTGAAATGCAGTCTTTGTTTGTTAATTTTACTAATGAATTTTAGAACTTTTAAAACGATAGTACATAAAAAATTTAAGTAGTAAGACGTAAGTAATAATAAGAAAATGAATTTGGATTTGCTACCGCTTATTCTCTAGATTTCTTGGAATGAAATCTCATTCTAAGAGAATGAAAATACAGCTATTTTTAGAGAAGAATGAAAATATTTCTTGAAAAAGAGTAATGAGTGAAAATTGTTTGTTGTTTTTACTCTTTTTCAAGAAGTGAAATATTTTCACTCTTCTCCAGAGAAATAGCTGTATTTTCACTCTCTTAAAGTGAGATTTTACTCCAAGAAATTTAGAGAGTAAACTGTAGCAAATACAAAATATTGATTCGCTTATTATTGCTTACATTTTATTACTTAAGTTTTTTGTATACCTACTGCATTATCTAATTGGCAACTATTTTTACCAACATGAGAAAATACGATATTAAAGAATTCTGAAAAAATTCTCAGAATTTTATAAGAAAAAAATAAGAAATTTTTGCCTCTTGCTATTTTTTTTTGTAAAGTTGATAGTATTTGAGTAAAAAATGATTGAAAATTAATATTCGGCAATTTTCAATAATTAATATCTCATTAACCAAAAATTGCGTAAATTGCAAAATGATAGAGGACTTTTCAATTCAATTTAATCCGCTCTATCTACAAAAAGCAGAAGTCTCATTGAATACCCTATATATAACTTTACAAATGCGATGATTTTACATATATCAAGTAAATGCTCGTATGAAATTATATTTTCCGTTACTCTAGAAAAAGATACTCTAGAAAAAGAATATTTTCTTAAACTTTTCTATATAACTTTGAATCATGGTTAATCCATGTTGGTGAAAAATGAAATTCGCTTGAAATCGATGGTACGAGTATTTCATAAATGCATGTCAATACTTTTGACGATAACTCTATATATTAAAATAAGTAAAAAACGTTATATGATCATATGTCCTATATATTTTAGTTTTTAAGTTATGGATGATCAAGGAATGTTCGAAATGCCCGCTTTGTGCGTCAACACACGCTACTGCACATCTTAGCATTAAGTTCCGCACTCGTTCAAAAATATTAGACATTTTTCAAATAGTTTTAAAACAAAAATTATCTTCAGCATAAATGTACATTACCATTTTATTGATTTTAGAACAGTATTTAGAACAGTATTTAGTAACTCGCGAGCATAAGATATCAATTGCTTGAAATTCTATTTAATTTGTACACTGAAAGAAAACAAATGTAGTTATGATAACTATAAATTTGACAACTCTTGCAATTTAAATACCTGTAACTAGTTTTACAAAGCAATAGCAACTAAAGTAGTATTGAATACTATAAAGTGTAGTCGCAGTAACAATATTTAGGTACTATTAATTAATAAGTGAAATAGTAACTACATTAAGTTACTTGGATTTCATACATATAAATATAACATTTTTCTAGTTTAGACAAAAATTTTTTTTTAATAAAGCACTCTATATATTATAGTAACTAATTAATCTCATTGTTGAAGTAACTTTAGAATATATTCGAAACCTTTTCTCTAAAGTCGCTCAGCACGAGCAATACGCAGTATTGTCACTAGAAGAACGTAGCGGAGTTCAGTTTCTTCTAATACAGAAGTACAGAAGAAAATTACTCAGTTTACAAAAGGCGTAGCCTTGGATTCGAACTTGAAAGAAAATAAATAAAAAATAAATAAAAAATACATATAAAAAATACATATAAGAATTTGTAACTATGTATTATAAAGTTTTAATAAGAACAATAAGTAAAGTAAGTGAACTAAGAAAATATATATAATATTATATAGAAAATATATATAATATTATATAAAAAATATATATAATATTAATCATTTAATGGATGATATAATTAATATTATATATAGATGATATAATTAATATTACTATATTTTCTTAGTTCACTTAATCTAATGTTCTTATTAGAATTTTCTAATATATACATAGTTGAGGCATTATTTCATTACAAATTTATAGTTACTGATACGATTTTTTTCTCTGTATTGATGAATATTGTTTATAAACATTAGATAACGTTGAAACGTGTTAAGCTGTACAATAGCATTGATGCATAAGACAAGCATTTCGAACATTTTCCTTAATCATCCATAACTTGAAAATTAAAGTAGGACATATATTCATATGTTCATGTTTTTTACTTATTTTAGTATGTATAAATTTACCTCCTAAAGTATTTATATAAATATTTATAAAAATATCCTGTATATATTACGCGTACACATTCGATGGACCGTGGACAAACTGTGAAAACTCGTGAATTAGTTGAACCAAAATTGTGGAGAGTCATTTTTTTCCTTCTTCATTTTTCAAAGCGTCTACTTTTCTATCTCAATACACGAACCAAGTCCTGTTTTCCTTTCCATTATATAAGAAAGTGAAATCTGATTGTTTCTTGTTGCGATAACACGGAACAATAATTTGTAATAAAGTTTACTAACAATTCCAGCAAAAGCATATTAATTAAAGATAATTACAATTAAAAAAATCAAGTCTTTAATAAAATTATAAAATAGTAATAATAGTTTGTATGAAATTAATTACAAATAATAAGAACAATAAAAATTGTATTAGACCGTACATATGAAAACAAAAAATTGTTTATATTACGTTAATCAAACTTGTGTCTTATCTCTTTGACGCGACAGAACTTTAAAATTATTGATGTGATATGAATTTAATATGATATATGTATCTAACAAAGAGAAATAGAATAACAAAATATACAATATCTTGTAAGAAAGTTACGAAATAAAAATAAATGTTTTTTACTTACAGTTTTTATTTGATTAAAGAATCAATTTGATAACATTAAAATTAATAGTTTTAAGATAAACTTTAAGATAAACTTATTTACATAAAAAGTACACTCTTTGTAATAAATTCGTTGATCAGTACCGAGACAACAACAAGTCAATACTGTTTCTTAAATATAATTTTTTAAATTATCGTCGCTTTCAAATTTCTACGTAGATTATTTTAATTTCGAATCAATCTTATCGTACTCCCCTCTTCTAAATCGTTTAAAAATGTATGAGCTACACGTCACATGTCAATAATATTAGAATATTTATCGTATTCAAATGCATTAGAACGAGAATATCATTAACTAATATTTTTTAAAATATGATATTTTGAATTGCCATCATATATCGAATCGAGGATATATGGACATAAAGCAGAAATAGAGTACAATAAAAATAGAGTAAAAAGGAAATAAAGAGTACTCGAATTATAACTATAATATAATAACAAATTTGCATGTGTGTGATGAGAGATATCTTGACAATACTATTATATTGAATATATACAAAAGTATTGAATATACATATATAATACCGCAATTTTTTTTAATTGAACAATAATCGATGAGCGATAAGAGAAAAAAAGAAAAAAAAACGGAGAACGTATCCTTGATTGAAGGAAGTTACTGATGTCTCTCGTAAGCGTTCGAAGTAATGAGTAATCAATCGCTAAAAGCTGCTCATAACTTTCTCAACTATTTTCGCCTTATTTTTTACAGAAATGTGATTGCTAATTCTCCAGCTAATTTCACTTCTCTCTTGTGAAAGGAGTCACAGATTCTATAGCTGAGGCTGAGATACAAAGGATCACTTTGTCGGACTCTCTTGCTATTCGTCAGAATTATGGAGCAGGGAAGATTGAATCAGGAAATTAAACCGGAGAATTAATTATAAACGATTCCGTATATATTCTATCCATGCACATATGCATAAGTAATTACTGTCGAAACAATAAAACATAGGAAAAGATGTTTTATTGTTTCGACGGTTTTAAGTAAAATTTGTATAGCTTTCTATATGCTTTATTGTAAACAGGATGAGGCAATAACTTTGTTCATCTTGAATATCTCTGCTATTTTTAAAGATATGAAAATATTGTAATTACAAAAACTATACGGTATCAAGAGGACCATAATATATGCTGGTAATAATTTTTCTAGGTGGAGATGCTTCAAAGATTTCAAGATCACCTCCATTTTTTTAAATAGAATGCTGTACTTTTTTAACCTTATTGTAATAGCGGGTGTTTAAACGATTTCAACGATAATAATAGATTATTTGTCATTGAATAAAGAAGTAAAACATTGATTCTTACGTCACAAGAAGTGCTCGAAGTAATGTTCGTTTATATCAATGCAACACTGCAATCATTAAATTCCTGAAGCACTTCTTAACATTTTCGGATTATTGCACATGCTGCAATAATTCGTTGCTTCATATTTTCCGGTATGGCCGGCAGTTTCTGATGAGGACAATATCCTTGTATTTGCTATGTTACAGTAAAAAATGTAAATGTAAATTTTTACATTTCTTATTATAAATTCTATAAGTCTAAAGAGATTTGTGAAACTTTAAGCTAAAACTAATTATTCTAAATTTAATATCAGTAGATCTTTCAGAAGGTGTTCCTCCATGTAGGGGCTAATAGATTTTTCAGTTTCGAATTTTTACAGACGAAATTAAGAGAAAAAAATGAATTCGACACCAGTTACTACATACATTTGACTACTTAATAATATTTTAACAATAAGGGGAAATTAATAATTAATATGAAAAAAATGCACTTTTCTAATGCATTCCATCTAATTCAAATCCCGGGACCGGGGTAATTCGATTAAAATTAAAATAAAGATTAATGTATTTTAAGCTACATCCTTGGCTACATATTAATAAAACTTTTATAAAAATATATTTTAAACATATTCGCTTTGTAGGCAAAACAATGCTTCTTTTTACAAAATTGGTCCATTTCGTGCAAAAAACACATCGAATGAGCCTAGTTTTTGAGATTAGACATGAGGAAATTAAATTTATAACATTTACCATTGAGGAAAATCTCTTTAAAGGAATAAAATTTTGAGTACTGTAACAGTCGTCACTAAATGAGTCATACAGTTCCATGCTGTGTTAGTCTATTATCTCCCCTTCATCTGTTTATTTTTGAAAAACATTAATAATATACGATACAAAGATACATAAACAAAAATAATCTGTTAGACTTTATTAAATTAGAACTACACTTATTATCTAAGTAGAAATCAAATATCTCAGACAATCATATACGATTGTCAAACTTTAAGAATAAAAATATTTACTTAGGTGTATGATTTTTTAAAATTGTGGCATAATTTCTATCAAAGATGTGTTCGCAACAAGATGTTCGCAACAGCAGGCTTAACGGTAGTCGCTGCTCAGATACATTTAAGCGTGTCTCACACGTTTTGTTTTTAATGTAATCTTGATTATTCTACTTGTCCCTATAGTCAACTGACCTCAGTCTTCCCTAATTTAACTCTCCTGTAATTTTGGTAACAAATTCATGTGAAAATGAAATTTTTATTTGTTAAACAAGTAGATATGCTCCTCATCTATGAGAAGTTCAATAAAATTCAATAAGGATGCAAGCATTGTATATTGAACGATATTCAGATCGGATGCATCCCTCCTCACATCGTATGTTTTAACGAATTTGTAAAAAATTAAGAGAAATCGAAAGCTTTATTATGCGATAATCTGAACATCGAAAAAGAATGTGTCATGAAAACTATGAAATCAATATACTTGCAATAGTGAATGTTAATCCTCAGATTAGTTCAAGATAGATAGAACGAGTCAGGCATTAATAACAAAAGAAGGATATTATGAATTCTTGCTTAACATAATTCCATCCGTATGGTATTAACCTTCACCAAGATTTACACGGTACGGATTTTGAAAATCGTGTTACATTCTAAATGCAACATTAATGAATGCAACTTCAAATGTTCATTAACAATAATTTTTAATATTATTGATCGATGAAGCAACTATTTATGAAGCTTTACTAATCTTGTAAACTTGTATAATATGCATTACTGATCGGATGAATATCCGCTCTGATTAAAAGAAGTTGATGATCAATGATAATGACAATAAACGTATGCGGTGCGGTATCATAGGCGACAAATTAATCGAATTGTATTTCATTAATGGAATACTTAATAGCATAAAATATGATAACTTTATACGCAACGATTTCTAAATTTTATTAGAAAATATATAATTGAATATTTATTTATTGAATAATGATATATCAGCACGATGGATGCCTCGCACATTATGGATGTAGAGTAAAAGCTACACTCAATAAGATCTTCCTAAATCGACAGATAGGAGATGGTGAGCCGATTTGCCAGCTCGTTCAACCGACATAACACCGCTCGACTTTCTTGAAGAACATTAAAAAATATTGTATAAAATATGTATACCAAGAAGTGCCAACCATACCGGAAAATATAAAGCAACGAATTATTGTATGCATGTGTGACAATCAATTCGGAAATGTTAAGAAGTGTACACGCTTCAGGAATTTAATGAATGATTGCAGTGTTGCATTATTATAAACGGACATCACTTCTTGTGATATAAGAATCAAATTTACTTCTTTATTTAATGGCAAATGGCCTTTTATTATAGGTTAAAATTGTCTAAACAACCGCTATTCTACTAAAGTTAAAAAAGTACAACATGCCATTTTAAAAAATGAAGGTGACCTTGAAATCTTCGAAGCGCTTCTAAAAAAATTATTCTTAGCATGTATTGGATTGTCTGGAAAGTTCGTGCCGATGTTGAAGAAAAATTGAAACGCAGAAAATTTAAATTTTAGTATACATTTATTAAATTATATAGATTAGTCGACACGAATTTTCCGGACAACTCAATATTATGATCCTCTTTACCATGCAACTTTTTTGTAATTACAATATTTTCATATCTCTAAAAATAGTGGGGATATTCAAGATGAACAAAGTTATTGTCTCATTCTATATATATGTATTTATTTATGTATGTATATACGTATATGTATAGGAGAAGATGATGTGTCTTTGATCAATTTTGATATTTTTTTCTTATGGTGATATTTTTTTGATATTTTTTCTTCAAGTTGTATTTTGATGTCTAAAAAATGTCAAAAAAATTCTAAAATATTCTTTGAAATGTTGACACTAACATATATTCTTTATGAATTTAAATTGTTATCTTTTGTACATCTTTTATAACATTAGAAAAAAATTGAATTTTAATCAAAGGTACAAGGTACGCCCATGTCAGATCTCTGACCAAGGATTATTGTCTTTCTTATCTTTAACCAGTGTATAAAATGCATATATATGTATAAAAATAAGGTATTCAACAAAAGTTTAATTTTATTTATATTTTTATTTATATTTTTATTTATATTTTTATATTTTTAATGTCTTTTTATACAATATAACTTTACATATAAAATGTATAAAAATAAACTTTACCGTTACAAAGATGCAATTCTCGTTTTTACACGAAACGATTGCAACTGGCAAAAATAATCCTTTGTTCATTTCATTCAAAATTTTACATACATAATGAGCATAATTTTATTAATTGAAGATAAGATAGCTCAAAGATAAGATTGCTAAATTAAATGATTATCCGACATTGTATTGACTGATCAAAGGTACACTATCAATTACTGATTAAAGGTACAACGCTTGCTTTCTATTTGTTATTACTTTTATCGATTAAATTAAGATTGACAGTATTAATTCTTAAATAATTTTTTTATAATATTTAATTTTTTAAATTATTTAATATTTTAAACAATTCCAACATAAGACAAAATATATGTGTACAACACACAATTTTAAGAAAATGAAATACTTATATAATATATAATACAAAGAAACATGATTTAATTAATTGAAATAAACTTCATATTATGTATATTTTTTTATTATGTATTCATTTCATTTTCTAATAAAGAGTTT